ATTTATTTTGGAATTTTATTCGAGGGATTATAACTTTGGGGTAATGGAAGTATATTAATTCGACTCACCATTTTTAGGGACAGTTTTTAATGTACTTTCATATGAGCTATCGTTTCACTCTATACGATAAGATTTCAGAAAAAATTTTTGTTTTACCCCAATATATTGAAAATAAATAAAATTTATTTTGGAATTTTATTCGAGGGATTATAACTTTGGGGTAATGGAAGTATATTAATTCGACTCACCATTTTTAGGGACAGTTTTTAATGTACTTTCATATGAGCTATCGTTTCACTCTATACGATAAGATTTCAGAAAAAATTTTTGTTTTACCCCAATATATTGAAAATAAATAAAATTTATTTTGGAATTTTATTCGAGGGATTATAACTTTGGGGTAATGGAAGTATATTAATTCGACTCACCATTTTTAGGGACAGTTTTTAATGTACTTTCATATGAGCTATCGTTTCACTCTATACGATAAGATTTCAGAAAAAATTTTTGTTTTACCCCAATATATTGAAAATAAATAAAATTTATTTTGGAATTTTATTCGAGGGATTATAACTTTGGGGTAATGGAAGTATATTAATTCGATTCACCATTTTTAGGGACAGTTTTTAATGTACTTTCATATGAGCTATCGTTTCACTCTATACGATAAGATTTCAGAAAAAATTTTTGTTTTACCCCAATATATTGAAAATAAATAAAATTTATTTTGGAATTTTATTCGAGGGATTATAACTTTGGGGTAATGGAAGTATATTAATTCGACTCACCATTTTTAGGGACAGTTTTTAATGTACTTTCATATGAGCTATCGTTTTTCTCTATACGATAAGATTTCAGAAAAAATTTTTGTTTTACCCCAATATATTGAAAATAAATAAAATTTATTTTGGAATTTTATTCGAGGGATTATAACTTTGGGGTAATGGAAGTATATTAATTCGACTCACCATTTTTAGGGACAGTTTTTAATGTACTTTCATATGAGCTATCGTTTCACTCTATACGATAAGATTTCAGAAAAAATTTTTGTTTTACCCCAATATATTGAAAATAAATAAAATTTATTTTGGAATTTTATTCGAGGGATTATAACTTTGGGGTAATGGAAGTATATTAATTCGACTCACCATTTTTAGGGACAGTTTTTAATGTACTTTCATATGAGCTATCGTTTCACTCTATACGATAAGATTTCAGAAAAAATTTTTGTTTTACCCCAATATATTGAAAATAAATAAAATTTATTTTGGAATTTTATTCGAGGGATTATAACTTTGGGGTAATGGAAGTATATTAATTCGACTCACCATTTTTAGGGACAGTTTTTAATGTACTTTCATATGAGCTATCGTTTTTCTCTATACGATAAGATTTCAGAAAAAATTTTTGTTTTACCCCAATATATTGAAAATAAATAAAATTTATTTTGGAATTTTATTCGAGGGATTATAACTTTGGGGTAATGGAAGTATATTAATTCGACTCACCATTTTTAGGGACAGTTTTTAATGTACTTTCATATGAGCTATCGTTTCACTCTATACGATAAGATTTCAGAAAAAATTTTTGTTTTACCCCAATATATTGAAAATAAATAAAATTTATTTTGGAATTTTATTCGAGGGATTATAACTTTGGGGTAATGGAAGTATATTAATTCGACTCACCATTTTTAGGGACAGTTTTTAATGTACTTTCATATGAGCTATCGTTTTTCTCTATACGATAAGATTTCAGAAAAAATTTTTGTTTTACCCCAATATATTGAAAATAAATAAAATTTATTTTGGAATTTTATTCGAGGGATTATAACTTTGGGGTAATGGAAGTATATTAATTCGACTCACCATTTTTAGGGACAGTTTTTAATGTACTTTCATATGAGCTATCGTTTTTCTCTATACGATAAGATTTCAGAAAAAATTTTTGTTTTACCCCAATATATTGAAAATAAATAAAATTTATTTTGGAATTTTATTCGAGGGATTATAACTTTGGGGTAATGGAAGTATATTAATTCGACTCACCATTTTTAGGGACAGTTTTTAATGTACTTTCATATGAGCTATCGTTTTTCTCTATACGATAAGATTTCAGAAAAAATTTTTGTTTTACCCCAATATATTGAAAATAAATAAAATTTATTTTGGAATTTTATTCGAGGGATTATAACTTTGGGGTAATGGAAGTATATTAATTCGACTCACCATTTTTAGGGACAGTTTTTAATGTACTTTCATATGAGCTATCGTTTTTCTCTATATGATAAGATTTCAGAAAAAATTTTTGTTTTACCCCAATATATTGAAAATAAATAAAATTTATTTTGGAATTTTATTCGAGGGATTATAACTTTGGGGTAATGGAAGTATATTAATTCGACTCACCATTTTTAGGGACAGTTTTTAATGTACTTTCATATGAGCTATCGTTTTTCTCTATACGATAAGATTTCAGAAAAAATTTTTGTTTTACCCCAATATATTGAAAATAAATAAAATTTATTTTGGAATTTTATTCGAGGGATTATAACTTTGGGGTAATGGAAGTATATTAATTCGACTCACCATTTTTAGGGACAGTTTTTAATGTACTTTCATATGAGCTATCGTTTTTCTCTATACGATAAGATTTCAGAAAAAATTTTTGTTTTACCCCAATATATTGAAAATAAATAAAATTTATTTTGGAATTTTATTCGAGGGATTATAACTTTGGGGTAATGGAAGTATATTAATTCGACTCACCATTTTTAGGGACAGTTTTTAATGTACTTTCATATGGTCTATCGTTTCTCTCTATACGATAAGATTTCAGAAAAAATTTTTGTTTTACCCCAATATATTGAAAATAAATAAAATTTATTTTGGAATTTTATTCGAGGGATTATAACTTTGGGGTAATGGAAGTATATTAATTATTTAAATATATTCAATTTAAAAAAAATATTAAAAAATTATATATTGTATTATATCTTATGGTATATTGATTGGGTACAGGTCGGGCTCGTATTTTAGATACAGTATTTAGTGCTGATTCTATAGTATATACTATACTAGATGGCCACGTATCACCATCCAGAAAATCAAATTTAAATATATTCAATTTAAAAAAAATTTTAAAAAATTATATATTGAATTATATCTTATGGTATAATGAATCCTTCAAAAATATTTTTATTATCTTTTTTAAACTTTTCTGATAAAAATATTTATGGGTTGAAAGTATGTGTTTTTATACATATAATTACTAATTTGGGCATTTAAATTACATAGTTTGTATTTAAAAATACATTAAACCAAATATATTTTCTTATCTTTTTGTAGTTTATTATGTAAAAAATTAAAAATATACATATAATGACAACATAATTTAGAATTTAATTGATAATTATTAAATAATTACATATTTCATTCACTCAATATCTAGTATTTAATTAAATTTCATTTTCAACTAATTTTTAAACATGATTGTTAAATAAAAATCAGAAAAAACTTTACATTTACGTGGAATTTAATATTTATAAATTTTAAAAAATAACCAAAGAAATTTTTTATTATTTGGCCCATCTTTTTTTCCACCCCAAAACGCGACTAGTATGGTTTAAGAATTTTTGTTAAAAAGTTTGTTATTAAACCATAATGAGATTTATACTCATTTTAAAGAGCATTTAAAGATCTACAATCTTTGTTTTGACACTTTTTCCCTAAAAGTTAGTTGAAAAGAGATAATCGATAAAAATAATTGGATATAGTTTAGTCGAGGGCCTGCACCGAACCGGGTCAAATGATATGTCATTCGATTCGTCTTGCCGAGCTGAGTCGAACGGTACCACTCTCCAGGTGCGGAAATGAATTGTTCATAATTTTGTTCAGAATGATCGGACCAAAGGGGGGAGTAAGCACTTTTTGGGGGTGAAAAAATCGATTTTTTGAATAATAGCTCATTCGAAAGAGCTCCTCGAGCTGAGTCGAATGACACCGAAATCACTGAGATTGGACGAGAATGAACCGAGATATAGGGCTCGAAATGGTCAACTTAAACCTATGGAGCGTCGGCGAGGCGCTTGTGCAAAACTCCGCGCTTCGCGCGGAGTTTTGCGGCACGCGCCTCGCGGGGAATCTACGGTTGCTGGGTCTGGGCTCGTAACTTAATCCTATTCCTTTTTACTGATTCTCAGCCTTGAATGCCGACCTACCCTCCGTAGCAACACCAAAACTGTTATTCAAGCGAAAATTGAATTGTTCATAATTTTGTTCAGAATGATCGGATCGAGCTGATTTTGGTGTCATTCAACTCAGCTCGTCGAGCTCTTTCGAATGAGCTATCATTTGTATAATCGAATTTTTGACCCCAAAAATCACCCCAGAAATTTGACCATTTCGAGCCCTATATCTCGGTTCAAACTCGTCCAATCACAGTGATTTGGGTGTCATTCGACTCAGCTCGAGGAGCTCTTTCGAATAAGCTATTATTCAGAAAATCGATTTTTTCACCCCCAAAAAGTGCTTACTCCCCCCTTTGGTTTTTCAAATTTCAGGGACCTATATCTCGGTCCACAGGCATTTCCGCACCTGGAGAGTGGTACCGTTCGACTCAGCTCGCCGAGACGAATAGATTGACATATCATTTGTCCCGGTTCGGTGCAGGCCCTCGACTAAACTACAGCCAAATAATTTAACAGCCTTTGCCGACCTCTACTGTATGTATTTGTTTCCCATTGCGACAAAACGCCAATTAATTATTAAGGCAACAAAAGGGCTTTTTCTATATTTTTCTTTCTCTGTCTATTACACTATTTTCTTTTTTAGAGTATTTTTTTTGAATATATTTCAACCAAAAATTGACTTTAACATACGTCTATTAATCGATTTTTAATTTTTATTAAAATCCAAACTTTATTAAAATTTTAGGGTCAAAATCTGTGATATTATTTTTATTGTTTTTGTTAACTAAACGGGCTATTTCTTTGATATTCGTGCAGCAAATTAAAGATGACATTCACAGAAAATGTTAAAAATGATGACGAGGTCAATTTTTAATAAATCGTTTTTAATTAGTTTTCGACTTTAATTTTAAAGGGTCTGGGATGTTTTGACTTTGTTTATTACATTGTCAAAAAATAATTTCTAAATGGTTTTTCGACTTTCTAATTCATATTCAATGGGAAAAACAGTTATAAGTTAGATATGGGTATTTTTGCTTGTTGAATTAACCTAATCAAGGAATCCAAGTTTTATAACATTTATGAAAGCTCAAGAATAATTACTAGAGGATACAGACTGGATGAATGATGCCACGAGGAAATTTTTTTAAATGTCTGACCATTTTGTACATTAATAAAAAAATTTATAGGGGGAGGAGGAAAAACTGCCCTTTGTGTTAGTCATAAATGAACAGAAATTAAATTAGTACTGTCTTAGATTACACGAACTAAATTTATTTCATTTACTTTAACCCCAAAATTTAAGAACTACACTTCTTTACAAAACACCCCCTTTTCTTCAAATTCTGAAAAACACAAAAACAATTATTTAAACAACAGAAGATCCACTTCAATTTTAATTTCCAATTGTTTTTCTTTTTCTGTCGCTGCCTTAATTATTTCTTTGTTGATTGCTTTCTTTTCACTTCAATATTATTTACCTAAAGCTTTGGATCAGTGTTCTTGTGTTAAGGAGGAATTGAATGGGCGTTTGTATAATTCTAGCAGTATTGGGTATCCAAAGGTTTTTTTCTTTTTTAAATTTTGGATTGAGTCGTAGGGGGTCGATTTTCAAAAATTTTCGGTTTTTTGAAAAAATTTCTACGTAAGGGCTAGGCTCATGTCTCCATGGGTAATTCTTCTGATGACGCCCCCTCCCCTTTTTTTATGATTCTAGTGCCATTCGACTCATCTCGAAGAGCTCTTTCGGATGTATACTTCATAGAAAATGAAAAATAGAACACAAAAAAGGGAGGCGTCATCCGAAGAATTATCGCTCCATCAAATTGCGGATTGCGTAAAATTGAGTGTTTTTTGACCTCAGATTGCGGCTGCGGAAATTTTTTATTTACATGTGCAGCCATGATGGGGATGAGTGTATTTTGCTTAAAATAAGCTCAATTTTTTACATTTTAAGCAATTTTAAAATAAGCCCAAAAGGGTATACTTGAACAAAGTCCGCAATGCCAAAATCCGCAAAAATCATGGTCACATTCCTTCTTTTCTGGTTTTTTAAATTATTCCAACTTTTAAGCACCTTCCCGATGGCCGTATTCAATATCAAATCGCTGTAGTTTCCGATTTAGACCACGACAGTAAATTTGATGGGAAAAAGAATACCTGGAGGAGTTTTGTAAGACGTGGACGTTTGTATTTCCATCCAGAATTGTTAACTGCCCAAATCCAATGGAATGATGAAGAAAGTGTTGTGCTTTATTCTCAATTGTCTTCTGGGGGGAGAGCTATGGAGTTTGTTTTTTCATTGAAAATTTTTGGATAGTAAAAGCATTAAGGGGTCAAAAATTGTGGGGATAGGAATTATCTCCGAGCTAGAGATAGTTTTGACTTGGTTCTTTCTCTATTTTTGATAGAGATCGAGATTTTTGAAAAGCCTGGGTCGGTTGATGAGTTTGGTTTATTGACCTGGGCCGGATTCTAGGCCTGTCCAGGAAAAACCCATAAACTTCATAAAATGCCTAGGCCTGGACTCTGGGTACAGGAAACTCAGGCCTTGGTCCAGGCCCAGCTCGATCTACAATTTGTGATACTAATTGATATGGTCTTAGAAATTTTTATAGAATTTAGTCATTTTCAGAAAATTTTTTAAATATTTTCCCAGTTTTCTTAGAGTTGAAACTTTTTTATGGAATAATTTTCTAAAACTAAAAGGGGTTTCTGATAAAAATTTCAATCCAATCGGATGTCCAAATATGCACCGATATGCTACTATGCACGAGAGGACCAAAATATGCAAAGATATGCATTAAGAACCGGTCCTAAAGTGCACGCACCAATGTAAAAACACCATTTTTGAGCTTCTCTCATTATGGCATATCCGCATACAAAACATGCATTTGCATCATTTTCCCATCCCTAATTATGAAACAACCTTGATTTTCTTTTAACATTACTCAATTAAAAAATTAAAAAAATTTTTTTCAAGGCTTTCTGATTTGGCTGTTTTTGACGGAAATTTACTCACAGTGGATGATAGAACCGGTGTTATATATAAGTATGCTTTTCCTCAATTAATTTACTATTTAATTAATTTAAGAATTGATAATTTCAATACAATGATTCCTTGGACTTTTTTAAACGACGGGCCTGGAAATACTACAAAAGGATTTAAAGCTGAATGGATGTCTGTAAAAGACGAACATTTATTTGTTGGAGGGTTGGGGAAAGGTTGTTATTTATAAGGGTTGTTGATGACCAGTTAATTTTTGCCTTTGGGGGATCAAATGTCTTTAAAATTCCTCTTGAGCTTCAGGCAGAAATTAAACGGTCACTAACCCTAGTTATTTTAAACATTTCCTAGTTATAATCTTAAATTAACTTTTTAGAATGGACAACAACACAAGGAGTATTTCAAAATTACCATCCAATGTGGATTAAAGTAAATAACATTTAACAAACGAAAAATTAGAGACTTCGAGTGCCTTTTTTTGTTTTATATAATTGACTTTCATAATTTTAACCAGACTTGGTAATGTACATAGATTATGGTATCCGTATATTTTTCGTGAGTATCCGCAGGGATTGTAAGGTGTATCCGTTGATTGCCTAAGCAAATGTGATCTTTTGGGAGAGCATTATGCATTAATGGATTTTCCCTACCATTACACTTTAATTATTATTTATCGCTATTTCCTGTATCACCTCCAATTCACATGCTTATGTTTATATATTGTTTATTGCTTCACCGATAAATCAGTTCCCAGTTAGTCAGTCTTTAATATATGTGCCCCAAAGAGGAAGCACACCGGTGTGGCTTGGTAAAGGTGATAACTAGGGTCTGGCCAACCCAATAGTTATCCTTAGGGAATATAATGGTTATATGTGCCTATGTTTGGTTTTAGAATGGACCCAGCATACGTCCACTTAACTGGATTTTGATATGTATCCGTATCCATTACCAAATCTGATCTTAACCAACGTTGTCAGTGGACTCCCTTTTTTGGAATTTTATACTAAAATAAATTAGAACCGGGAACCGCTACAAAAATTTTCACCAAAATTATTTTAATTAAAAAAAATTTTTTTTCATAGATTATCAATTTAAATGGAGAAATTGTTCACGCTAACTGGACTGAAAAATATATAAAAATTAGAGAGGCTGTTGGAATTAAATTTCCTGGTTATTTGATACATGGCATGTTTTTTTGAATAAAAATATTTTTCTTCAAAAATTTTTTTGGATCCCAATTATTCTCTTAAAATCAAAATTAGCCCCTGGAACCGCTACCCAATTAAATTTAAAATTTTCAGAATCAGCCCAATGGTCTGATGTACACAAGAAATGGTTCTTCCTTCCAAGGTGTTTTTAAAGGATTTTTGGAGTTAAAAATAGTTTTTAGACGTGCTTCGAATGATACTTACTCTGAGGATACCGATGAACATAAGGGGACTAATATGTTGATAATGGCTGATGAAAACTTTACTAATATTGAGGTGAATAATAAAAATACATCCAAAACACCCAAAATTATTTTTTAAAGGCAACACGTATTGGTTCTGTTGGAGATGGTTCTCGTGGATTTTCCGCCTTTCAATTTTTGCCTGGTAGCGATGATCAATTTATTGTTGCACTAAAATCTGAGGAACGCGATGGGAAGGCTGTTGCCTCGTATTTGTGTTTTTTCCGTTTATCTGACGGGCAGTTTTTGATAGAGGAACAGAAATTTGATGGTCCTTATAAATTTGAGGGGTTAATTATTTATTGAAGAAATTCTGGTTTTCTGTTGTATTTAATGTATCATATTTATTCTAGAAACTTTATCCCTTTCTCTTTTCATTCCCTTTTAACACTTCAAATTTTTATTTTAAATCTGGCCAAGAATTAATTTTTTAGTATTAATTTTTTGAATATTTTTTCTGAATTTTCCAAGGTTATCTACATCCTTTTTCTGGTCTCCGGTTCCGGTATCCTAGAATTTCAAATTCTGATATCCCGGCGTGTATGTATCTACTAGAGACCGGACCGATACGATGGATTGTTAAAAATATCGGTATATCGATGTCGATATTATCGATCGATCGCTCAAGTCCGGTCTTTAGTATCTACCACCTTAATTTTCATGTCAAAATTTAAAGATCTTAAAGATCAAAATTCAATTTTTGGTCATCATTTAACGTCGATATTATAGTCTATCGTGCTTCTTAATTTATACTATATCTGTATTAATTTAAGTTTATATATCAAACATTTATTTTAATCCTTCCCTTCTTAATTTTCCCGTTGCAAAACTAAAATTAAGCTATTATATTTTATTAAAAATTTAAACTATAAAAATTGTTTCGGGTATTTTTTGAATTTTGTTTATTATGCTAACAGATTTTGACTAGAATAACATTTAAAATTAAGTATTCTTCGATTTAGAATTTTCTTTTCTTATAAGCTCCTCAATTTTTCTTTATACATTCGGCTTCAAAATAGTAATTTATTCCGCATTCATCTGAGCAATCACAATATACACATCTCGCATAACCCCAACATTCTTAAAAATTTTTAAATTTTAAAGAAAGATTAATGCGCTGACCTTTTACACATTGAGTTGAACCTGTTTCCTCTGTCGATTCTGAGGACGAGACAGAAGACTCTGTTGAGTTGGCCTCTGTAGAGCTAGTTAATTCTGTTGATGCGACAGAGGTTGTTGAAGTGTCAGATTGTGCTTTTGAAAATCCGATCAAAACGAAAATAATTGTCAAAGAGAGAAATGACAACATTTTTGGCGTTTTGTTTTTATATGATTTTATTTAGTTGTATGACAAATAATGATTCAAAATCAACCGAATTTTAATCTACTTATAAAGAAACTTAAAAAGGACGGACGAAACACAATAAAAAAGTCAAAATTTAAAAAATTTATTTACTCATGTAGATAATAAAAATAAGACCCATGAATATTTTATTAGGATTTGTGTTATAAAAAATAACGTTAAATTACGTACCTCAAACTATAAAAAATTAAATAAAAATATTTTTCGAAAATATTTTTTTCTTTTTTTCAATGCCAAACTACAAGTTAAAATACCCAAAAATTATTGTGATTTGAAGTAAAGCCAAAAATTTATAAAAATTTTGTGTTACACATGAATTTCATTCGTTTAGTTATGTAAATATTGGGCAACTTAATATTTTTTAAATTTTATTTAAAAGTTTGTTTCGTAAAAATTTTATTCCTAAAATGTTTTTAAAATAAATATTTTGAAAATAATTTAATTAAAAAAAATTATTTTTTTTGTATAGAGATTGAAATTTAAAAAAATTCTGGCTTTAATAAAAAATCATTTTGGCGGTAAATTGATATTTCGGCTTTGAGGCAGATATCTTATCTAAAAATTGTTTGAAAAATAATTTTGAAAATTTCAAACAAATTAACCTTTAAATTCGGTTCAACATCCTCGGGGATAAAGAAAGCGGTATTTTGGTGAGTCCATTCAATTGGGGTGTTTTTTAAGTGTTTGTCAACAAATTGAGGCAAATTTTTGTTTTCTCCTTTATTGGGAGGTGTTTTAAAAGAAATATCATCTCGAATCTGTCGAGAAATATTTTTTAAATTTTAACATGGAATTAGCTAACCTCAGCGTGGTATTGTACAAGGCCGGGATTGTCTTTATAACGGTCACAGGTATGGCGGACTAGGCCATTGTAGCCAATCTCCCCAATTTTGAGAAGCGTCCATTGCCCTGTCTCGTTTTGGAAATAACATCCTTTTGAATGAAATTTTAAAATTTATAGGCTGTTTCAGCTTACCGGTAACCCAACGGCCAGTTTCTAGACATAGCCATTGAAAACTCTCTTCCCGGAATTTTTCGCCAACATGTTTATGATTGTTTTCGTCAATAATGCAACGAGGCTCTTTTTAAATAACATGAAATCTTTGTAATTATAAATTTTGATTCGCAACTTGTTGGGAAACCTACGATTCCAGACCCCTTATCCGATGTACCCTCAGTATGAGTTACAATTTTTGAGCTCTAAGTCGGGCCCTGGGAGGTAAATAAAAATAAAATTTTACGGTTACTGGTTCGGTTCAATAGATAAACCATAAGCAATCCTATTTTGAAATTTTCCTCAAATCCTTTCTAATGCCCCTCTCAATTCTCTTTTAAGAATAAAATTCCTAACCCAATTCAAGCTTTATCCTAATCGCATTAATTTCACAGGCTGCCCAGAACCCGTCAATGCTCTCATTTCTTCCAACAGACAAGGATTGAAACAAAGTTTTTCCAGTACTTATATCACCGGGTAGTTGGCAGCCGACAAAGTTTGCGTCAGAACTGCAGATAATTTAATTTTAAAAAATCCCCTCATTTTTAGATTTATTGCCTGTCAGTTCCTGTGCATCTGTAAACCCAGGTCCCTTCATCAGTCCATTCTTCACCTTGTTTCCTGCAAGCGCCGTACCAGTCCCGGCAGTCACAATTACCTTGAAACAATTTTTAAAAAATTGAAAATTGCTATATATTGCTATTATAATCGCTATATAATATTGCTAAATAAAATTGCTATTTGTAGAGATTGTGTATGTACATAAGAGAAAGATCCAGCTCACTAGGCTATTTATAGAGATTGTGTATGTACATAAGAGAAAGATCCAACTCACTAGGCGGTGGTTATGTAAGAGAAAGATCCATTCCAGCTGGCTAGCATTTAAAACGCTCACTAGTCGCGTGTTTAAGATCTATTAAAAGAGAAGGTGAAAGCAGCGTCCCGTTATCTCAGTTGATAGAGACCCGTTGAAAATTTTCATTCTTAAAATTAGGGTGAAGGGATACTGGAATTATAATAGTAATCAAGGAAAGTAGGAAACTGCGGCAACGTTATCATCCTGAATGATGTTAAAAACGAGATTATAAAGCTTATCTTACAGTTATGGGTTTTTAAAGAAACAAAATTCTGTCGAAGTCTCTCCCCTTCGTATCTCCCTCATCCCTGCTCTCTCCCTATCCTACCCTTAATTATATAAGCTTACTTGGAAGTATTTCCTTTAGACAAATTTTTTGAGCTTGCAGAATTAGCATTAAAATAATTAAGATCATATTTAAAAATAATTAAACTCAAAATATTTACAAAAAAATATTTTTTTATTGTCAATAATATGTTGATAATAATGTTAATAATAGCCTTCTATATTTTACAACAAGTTTATAAAATAAAAGAAACTTTTTTTATCCAATATTATAAAGAGAAAGTAATTATTATTGAATTAATCAGCGGAAACTTTTTTATTTATTTAAGCTATTATTTTAGCTTTTTTGGAGGAAATACTTGTTTATTTATCTAATGTTTATTAAAAAAGGTTGTGATATTACAAAAAATATTTTAAAATAAATTAAAGATAATACATCGAATCTTACTGTGAAATCCACGAACGTGACCTAACTTTTGTCTTATGTATAGATGGTTGTCTCACCATTGTGATAAAGTGTCTCTTGTTAGTTTATTCGGTACTTGTGTAGTTTTCCCCCCATAAGCCCCACCTCTTTCTCCCTTCTTTTTATCAGCAATTAGAAGCTACTATTTCATTGTTGGGTTTATTACTTTTACTTGTATTGCAATAGATTCATTTTATTATATCTTTTATCAGAATGGAGTTATACGTTATACTCACCCTGAGTTCTGGTAAATCATACAGAAGAGCTATGCTGTTTAATCATTTAGTTAATCTAACAGCAGAGATCAGCTTAGCACCATAGTGGAAGGTAGAGAGATTGCCACTTTATAAGAATTCACTTAATAAGAAAATGAAAGAAAAAAAAGCTGCAGTGCTTATGGCACTCTATTCTATTCTGTTAGTATCGGACAGACTGCAAGTCCATAAATGGCTTAAATTCCTTGGGCTAATTCATAAAAACCTCCAATGCAATTTTCACATCTATGCTTTATTCAAACGTAATTTAATTTTATTATTCAATTTTAATTGACTATTCCGCCCTTAATTTTCAAATAAACAAAGTTACAGGTGAAAATTTTAATTTATGAAACTCAGATTGTTTTACTTTGTCTCTCAACAAATATTAACAATTAAAGCTGGCATTTTATTAAAATTGCTACCTGTAAACTTTTATTTTTTTCAATGTCGACAAAATTGCTCGTTACTATAACACTCTTTAACCATTTAAATAAAACACAAATTATATACCTAAATTTTCACGTTAAAGTTTATTTATTTTATAGGCAGATAGCAATTTAATTCTTAAAGTTTTTTAATATTAAATCATTGAGTTAGATGGTGTCACAGACTGTTTCACTTGTATTTGGACCTCTTTCCATGATCTCATTTCGATTAAGCCATTTAACTGATCATTTCTTCTTACTTCGGTTCATTTCGATCCAAAGGTATCGACAGACGAATAGAGTCAAATGTATAAATTTGAATAGTTTCAAAATTAAACTTAAGATTTAAGAATAATTAAAATTCCTCAATGTCCACAAATTTAACAACAACAACAACTCAACAACAACAAGAACCTCCACAGATATTTATTAATATTGCGTATATTTTGAGTATTTTAGAATTAATTATCCATCCATTTATTTTGTCCATATCTCTATTTAATTTATTAATTCTCATTAAAAATAATATTTTACATCAAAATCTACGAGTTTTGTTAATCGGGCAAAGCTTAACCATTATTTTATTCGAAATACAAAGAGAGATACTTGTTTCACAAAAAATAGTTTCTGGGGATATTTTCAATCCTGGATTTATAACTTTGCAGGTAATTAATTAAGATAATCAGTAAGGAAGAGAAGATCAAGCTGGTAGTGTTTAAGATTTATAAGAAGGAAAGCTGAGTATATGTAGCTCAGTTAGCCAGGTCGGTAGCTCTCCATGTAAGAATTACAGTTTTCATATTTTAAATTCTCTATGTTCGCTAATAAGCTTAATTAAATTTTTTAAAATCACGAAAATCTGACTCTTAAGCGTTGAGATACTTAAAGTAAAATTTTGTGGAGGAAATTTTGGTATGCCCAACGGTTATGGGTATAACTTTTGTTATATGTAGATAAATATTGCTAAATTTTGTAAAATGATAAAGAATTGAATGGGCTACAAAATGTGTATAAACTTAGGTATTTAAAAATATTAAGTCTAAAGAAGTTATGGTAAGTAAACACTCCACTCCGAACTTTTATGTCACGCTGTTTGCGGTGACAAAAAAGATTGGTTCCGAACAACTAAATTTTTAAAATTAAATAGATGATTTCCGTGTTCACACTTAGCTGTGAAGGACTTCTTGGACATGCTCTTTTTCTTGAGCGTTTAATAGCTTTTTTATTTTTTAAAATTTATGAAAAACAAAATAAGGCATATTTTGGGATTATTGCTAATATTTTAATTGTAAGTTGAAGAAAAATTAAAAAAGCTAAAAATTATTTTCAGTTTGTTTATTCTATCCTCTGTGGATTAACTATATCAAAATCTTGGGACATTACCCCTTTGATTATTTTGGAGATGTCTTTTTCAACAATCGCAAATTTTTTAGAAATTCTGGTTTGAAATCAATATTACCAATATGCTCAAATAATTGGGTCCAGGAATTTCCGTCTATGGAACCTTCGTCTCTAAGATTTTTTTTGATTTGTTCGGGGCGTTGGCTATGGACGTCGGCGAGTCGCTCGTGCAAAATTGCCCGTGATATTGCAGCCGCGCCTTTGGTAGTCAACGGTCGCCAAGTTCTACAACAGTAACATAAACTTTTCCTTTTTACCGATTTACAGCTTTAAATGCCGACCTACCCCTAAATATCAGCACAAAAACATTTATTCCAGCGAGAGCAATGATGATCCACTGTAAACGTAAATTGAAAATTTGGAGACGAAAGTTCCAGAGATGAAAATTCCGTACACCGAGTAATTAGCCCGTCTATCTATAGGCTTAAACAATAATTACTAGTTAATTATTTGAGCATATAGATAAATATAATTACATATTTCGTAAATATTTTTGAAGTTTATTTGCCTGATTGGAGGATACAGCATGAAAAAATATAAAAATACATTAATAAAATCAGGAATAAATTACTCTTTAAATGAAAAATCTCAAGTAAAACTTTAATTTTTCGATTTTAATCCATTGTCAAAAAAATTTTTTTTTCAGTTATCAGAAAATATTCGAACAAGTAAACAACTCTTCCCAGTTTTTATTTGCCATTTTATTCGTAATCTTACAAATCCAATTGCACCGATAGAGATTTGTTTAAAAATACCGTCATATATAAGTAGTATGACATTCATTTTGGTTTATATATTGGGATCTTCCCTTAATGGAATAATTGAACTTTTTATTATTACGTAAGTCTATATGGTAATTTATTTTTAATTCTAGTCTCGAAACTTTAGAGGCTTTATAGAACTTATGTATGGTCTTCGAAGCGGCTTTAGTTAGTTGCTAGGGTGATAGGCGTGAACTATAATTTATTAAATTAAATTTTACGAGAATTTGATTTAAAATTAAATGAAAGAGTTTATAAGATTTAAACTTAATGTTCAAAGGGAGCTATGAAGAGTACATTCTACCGTATCATTTAAAATAACCCAAAAAATTCATAATTCATATCTATTTTATAGACATCATCCATCATTGAAGAAAAACTTTATTAAAATTATTCAATTATTAAAGTTTAGAAAAACTAATAGAGTTGATGTAATTAATGAAAACCCTACATTACCAAAAACAATTAATGGCAACCCTTTATTAATTTCTAATGAATTTGAAAAACATTTTTCCATGTTAAACGATGCTTGGAATTAATTTAGAAAATTATTTTAAAATTTTGAATAAAATTGTTTTTAAAATAAATTTTTATTATGTTGATTTTCTGTGCCAGATGCTTTCTTCAAATTTTTACAAAAATTCGTAAATTCGAAAAAGCTCTGATCTCTTTACAGTCTCCACAAACCCTAAACCTTTTGCTTCAAAAATTGTATCTTATGATATGTGTACCTGTAACTCTCCCAGTGAATTTGTGTCCGATAGTGTCGTAAATTGGAAATCAACAGTCTGGTCGCTCAGGGGGCCCTTAAACTCTATTATCGGTTTAATCACAAATTCATCAACATTAATTTTATTTTTAGCTATAATATAATTAAAATAGTCCTATCCAAAAATCTGTTTTTAATTATTCTTCCTCATTTTTTCGATGCTGTCAGCGTTAAAACTCCCTTATTCGAAAGGTGGCTCTTTAGTGTATCAGGCACAACATCATTCGGTAAACGATACGAACGGTGAATTTCTCGCTTAACACTCCCGTGTTCATCTGAAAATTGTATCTTTTTAACCTTCTAAACATTATAATTATTTGATTACCCTTTCGTGGCTCATGAAGACAGTGAATTAGCACATCTTGCCCTGCTACTTTTACCTTAAAAATATTTTCTAATAATTTTTTTGCGCCGCAGAAAAATTTTATTGGATATGAGATGGAATAGAACCATCATGGAAATAGTCAATCAAATATTCCCTTCCTGCCCCACCCATCCCCTGATGATTTGGCTACTTTTCTGCAATGCCTGGACACAATACACTACTTATTTTAAAACATTTTTACCTCAATTTCATGAGGCAAAAAGAATTGAACATCCAGGCCAACTTCAAACTTTTCTTTTGTATTGTGTACTTTGACTACCCCGTCTGTGTGTTGAAGTGGCCCTTGAGAGTTCAAAATAAACTTTTTAAATTAATCCAAGTCCCTACAATCCCATTGAGCAGCAGAATCATGTTCCACAGCAATGCTTCCACTTGGAGGAGCAGCACTCATTGTGTGGAATGGAAGAGTTGCGAACTTCAATGATGGGAGATCATTGATTTTCAAGGAAAATGGCATTTAAATTTATGAGCAAGCAAGGGAAGGAGAGAAGTGGCAAAGGCAAAAAATTACGAGGTAAATTAAAATTCAGAAATTTTCTAAGGGGGATTTTGGGTGATTTTGAAGGATTATATAAAAACCCTAAAGGCATATGACTCTGTTTCATAGTTTAGAACCTCGCTCACATATTTATTCACTCCTTTTAACTAACCTAATATGAATAAATTAAGAAATAAAAAGTAGACCTTTAAAAACTTAGTATGTTTTTCACAGAAAATGAGGGAATATTAAGCTGTAATTGTCAAATATTTTAAAATAATGAGGGAAGGTTAAGCTATGATCTATCTTAAATCTCAATAATAAAATGTATTTTGGAACTTGACAACTTTAAAACTGTAAAATACTTAAAACAGTCATTATTAGCCAAACAGTAACGATAAAAAGTGATCGATCCTCGCAAAAAAACGAAGAAAAAATCATTTATTTTTGTCTCATTTTACTTGAACAAACAAAAATTGTTATGCGCAAAACTACCCGTTGTTTTTCTATATTTTTTGTAAGTTTGAGCATTTTTAATGCAAAATTAAATATTTGTATTAAATGTGAAAAGAAATGGAATAGTTTAATTGAAATTTTATACAGGTCGAAAAAAAGTTGAAAATTTGGGAAAGTATAAAAGCCTTTGCTTTTATTCATTCTTGTTTAGTTTACTTACAATTTAACGTCTTCAGTGAATTCTAAATTTTTTCACATGACTTCAATGTTAAAAACATAACGCCAAAGAGAAATTTGACACCAATGTGATGTACAGTCTCACTGATTTTCTAATATTGAACTACAAAAATTACTTCTGAAACTATGCAAATCTGTCCGCTTATTTTATAATTATCTATGGTTTTCTTTCTTTTATTTACTTAATATATATTTTTCAATTATAGACAAGTATTCATTGTTCAAAGCATTGTACGATTCTGTCATGGATTTTCATCTCTTTCAAATTATAAATTGTTACGATCCTGAGGTCATCGTCTATTTTGTGCACAAAGAGATGAAATCTTGATTGAAAAAGACAACTGACTTAAAAAGCTGAAAAATAAAGAAATATAAAATATTATTTTCAATTGTTTTCAATTAAATCAATAGCTGCTTTTATTTTTCCTTTCATATTTGCACTGAAATATTTTATTGTTGTTTTTTTTGTCTGCATCCTTTATTAAATAAATGAAAATAAAATTAGCTCACTGCTTTTTACTTTAAATTACTCAATAAATATCCCAACTCTATTTTTTAAACAATCAAAAAAATTTTATTTGAACGAGGAGATACTCAATAATTTTTTATAAAAAATTAAATTATTACTCCAATAAACTAGACATTTGTTTAAAAATGGCAATGGTATCGCGTCGTCGCGATACTTTTTTCATTAATCCTCCAATGGAAAAACCAAAGAGGAATGCTAATATAAAGCCTTCCCATCAACAACCTCCACCTACTTTACAATCAACTACCGCTGAGAGTTTTGACATGGTAGAATTAAAAATTTTTGAGCTAACAAAGGATTCTCTTCAAAAATTCTTCCATTTTAAGGATGAGAGTAGCGATGGCGAAACCGCAGCGGTTACAGAGCCTGTTGGCGGAATTGAAGTTTTACAAATCCCAGCCCAGAATTCTTATGATATGGAAGCATCTTTGACAAAATCTGAGAAAATGTTTAAAGTAATCTAAACTATGTTAGAATGGATATTAATATAATTTAGTATATCAGATTTATTGGCCCACATGTTGGTCTAGTTTTATTGTTGGTTGTTTATCTACTTATTGGAGCTACTATTTTTGTAATAGATTAATTTAATATCCTCAGATAAATTTTAAAAAATTTCCAGCACTATTTGGAAGCGTCAAATGAAGTGCTGGTATATTTAGAAAAATTTTTAGAATTTTTAAATTAAAATATCAAGACAAGGGATAAAGAAATGCGTGAATTGTTAGCTTTGAGGGACCATTTTCATGATACAATTTGGAATTTAACACAATCCGATGAGAGTGTTATTTCACAGGATTCGTTTTATGGAATTGGAAGGGAATATTTTGATAAGGTTGTTGTGATTTAGAGGGAAGTTGGGAAATTTTTTTTAATTTTCTAGCTGGTCCTTCGAACATTTGAAGCCTGCCGAAATCAGTTTACAAACGAACGTCATTTATTAAACAAAACAAGGGAAACTACAGAATTGTTATGGACATATACTAACAGTCTTTTCTTTGCAACTACAGTTATAACTACAATTGGTTACCTTATTTACTTTATTACTGTTAATGTCCTAATAGAAGTCATGCCCTAATATAAGTCCCAGGCTGAAATAATCCTGTAGTATTATACTAGTGGGATTTTATCTTATAAAGGGATCTAAAATTTAAATATAGAGATGTATCTGTCCTTAAACTAACGTTAATCTACTAATTTAAAAGGTTATGGCAATCTCGTTCCAATGACACGTCTTGGCAGAATTGCCTGTATTTGTTTTGCTTTGTTTGGCATTCCCCTTTTGTTAGTCACAATTGCAGATATCGGAAAATTTCTTTCAGATTTTCTCAATTTTCTTTATAAGACATATCATGCTTTCAAACTTAAGGTCCCCTTACCCTTATTACTTTAAAAAATTATTAAAGGTCCGTAAACAATCGAGGCGATTGTCCCGTTATCGGACAACGTCCAACTCCACAATAGGGGATTTAAGAAGTGAAGGTTCAACATCTAAAGCAGGCAGTTTAAATTTAAATGAATTGAGTGGAAGCGAAATGGAAGACCAAAATATGGAGGGGAGGGAATTACGCATTCCCGTTGTGATGGTTCTGTTTGTTCTTTTGTGTTATTGTGGAATTGGGGGTTTATTGTTTTGCAAATGGGAAGGGTGGTCGTATTTTGAGGGTTTCTACTTTTGTTTTATTACAATGGCAACAGTCGGTTGGTCCGTTAATAATTTTATTTTGGGAGGGAAAGGAAGAGCCGAGAGACTTAAAGGGTTTTAAGATCTCTAGGAGGGAAAGGCTAAATCATCGCCCGGTAATCAGTCGGAACAGAGATATCACGGGTTACTCGAAACCCGACTCATGAACTTCCTGAGCGGTAATGACATGAACTTGATGAACGAATCGACTAGCAATATTTTCCATGTTGTCGGAGATTCACTCCTTAACTCCAAATTAAACTTGAATTACTATAATATATTTTTAAGGATTTGGAGATATTGTTCCAACCCAATCTTCTACTTATATCATTTTAGCTTACATAATATTTGGTTTATCATTGTAATATTTAATTCTTTATTATTTAAAATTAATTTAAAAAAGAGCAACAATGTGTATTGACTTGGCCGGCACAGAATATATTCGCAAAATTCATTATCTCGGCTCGAAAATGGAAGATGCTAAGGGTACAGTAATTACGGGACTTAGGGCCGGAGAATATATTCTTAAACATAGAGGTTGATTCTCGCTGCTTTTTAGCTCAAAATCCAAAATTTATTTGAAAAGGCATCGAAGTGATCAGAACAGCTAGCGGCAAATTGATACAAGTTGGTGGGGCAATGCTTAGCCTTAAACAAGCTAGAGAGTTGGGTGTTAGTTATGTTCTATCAGAACTTGATTTGGACAGTAAAAATTCAAAAAATAAATTGTATGATCCTCCTAGTGCTGCTGTACAGAGATTATTAAAAGGAAAAAATATTAAGGTAAAGTTCAACGGAACTTTTGTGTAACTGAAGGGCTATTTGTGTATATTCTTGGTTTATTTTGTGTCCTAGGATCCGTTCCAACCAGAGGTGGGTCGGAACAGTCAGAGGTGCCGGAAATCGGAAGAGTTGGAAATCGGAAATCAAAATTTTTTCCTGGAAATAGGAATTCTGACCCACCTCTACTTCTAACCTAAATACCCCATACCACACAAGAATACCCTTCCGTGTTTTTAAGGTGTCACAAAGCCCCCTTCAATCTACACATCTACTCAGCATAATTTAAATAAAAATCATTATACATTTTTCGAATTTAAAGATTATGCCAAATGAAATTAATGAAGACGACGGAGTAATATTACAAAATAGTAGTTATGGAAAGCCTTTTTTGTTACTACAAGCTAGTCCAAATGCTATACATCGGTTTTTGAATCATTTTAAATTTTTAACTTTTATTTTTAGTTATATGGTCCCAGCAGACAGAACACAAAATAATTCTTATGCATTACTTGTTCCTCTTAATTTAAAGGAATCTAATATTTGAATTTTTAATAAATTTTTGTATTTTTAAATAAAGATTTTGTATATATTTTATTAAAAATTTGAGTATTAATATGTTCGTGCTGTGGAAACATTCATTGGATTTGAGATTGAATAGAAATCACGGAACGAGATGAGATCAAAGCACAGCCGGCCGTGACATTATCCAAACGTTATTTTTATTCATTTATATTCTTTCTGCAACCACGAGCCCAATGTACTGCCGAGCTATAACCTCGTTCAAAATTATTGAATCCGGGGTGCCTTGGTATGGTTCGATCTCGGTGTTTTGAATCGAATCATACCAGGCAGTCATGGATTTGATCATTTTGAACCAGGTTATAGCTCGGTGGTACATTGGCAAACTCCCGAACACAACATAAATTATTTAATAAAAATATTTGAAAACAAAATTATGTAATAGTAAACTAAATTTTAATAATAAAATACTACAAGTTTCGAACAAATAAGATTCGATTTTTATCATTAAATTGACTTTTTATCAAAATAATTCCAGATTTTTTCCAATTTCTTTCTCAAAATTTGAATTTTTAAATAATTAAAATTTCTGTCCTTCAAAAAAGAACACAATAAGCAACGGCTGACATATCCGCATATAAAATTTCTTTATCAAATTCAGCCAATATAGCAAAAAGTGTTTCCTTCAAAACCAGCTTGTGTTGCGCATAAAACAATAAATTAGTTATTTTATTCAAAAAATCTCTAAAAATTCCAAATTTATTTTCAATTTTCTCATTCTTATTTTTTAAATCATAAACATATTTATTTAACATCCCTGCAAGTTTACGCCGACACTTTTCATCAAAACTACCTAACGCGTCCAAAGGCTTAAATTTATCACCATAATTGGCCTTTTCTATTTCCTTTTTAAATTCAATTAAGCATTTGATGGAGTCATTGAATAATACAGCCATCTTAAATTGATAATTTAATTTATTAAAAGTTACCAAGAGGCCTAGCTATTTTCCTCTTAACATCCATCAATACCGTAGTGAATAAAATAATTACTTCGGGTAATTAGCAAGCAAACGCTGTGAAAGAAGAAGGCTCGAAATCTGTGCTAATGACTTTGCCAGCAATTGTGTGCATTCCAAAACGCCCTCATCAACAGAGGAAGAGGCTCTTATATTCTTGGATGCTGGAAGTCAACGCTCCTTTATATCGGCAAGGTTGACATTAACTGGGCGTAAATTCTATACTCGTTAAATAGACTTTCCGGAGCCGGAACTTTCGGTGAAACTCTAATCTACATAACACACCCCCCACCCCTCATTCTCTATTTTTATCCATTTAATAATCCCCCAAAAAATTGATAATTTTGAAAATAGAAAAATTAAAAAACTATCTTTATATTCCACTGACTCTTTCTCCACATTTTTATCAAACCCCAGCGTTTCAAGTAAACATTCGATGCTTTTTTCAATATTTTTTGGCTTTACTATTTTCAAAAATTTTTCAATATTTTCCAAAATTTTTTTAACTTTTTCATTTTTGTAATCTTCAAGTAACGGTTTTGTTAATTGTTTTCTAACCTCTTCTGATAAATTTATATTAAATTTGTATTCAGTTTTTGAATTGCTTGTATTTTTTAAATGGGTTTCTTTAACTAAACTAATTATTCTTTCCGCAAAATAAATTAAACCAAGATGCTCATTATTTCCATAAAGCATTTCTTTTAAAGATGAATCTGCTATCTGAAAATTACAGCATTACTGTGTTGTATTTACTCAAATAATTACCCTGGCAAATTAATTTTCTAATCCCTCGTTTAAGTGGTAATTAATTGAGAGGTGGAAATTAGGTTTGGTCACTCGTCCCCGAAAGTTAGGGAATTGGAGATTTTTTTCTCTTTCTTTTGCTTCCCGACCCGTGGCGTGACCCCCGAAAGATCCCCCAGACCTCCCTCCGTGGCCCTCCCACCCTACGGTGATTATCTATAGTGGCAATTCTTCGAGCGAAGGTAATTATTTAGTAAATACGGTATTCGACTTTTAAATAATTTTAATAATAAAGACTTTAACCTTATTCCTATAAGTTACCAATTCTTTCAAATCCTTTCCAAGACTCTCAAGATTATCCAAATTATTTTTAATTTCACTCCATTTCGATTGTTCAAGTTCCTTTTTGAATAAATACAACCCATTAACAATACGCTTCAAAAAGGGTAAAAATTCTTCCCTTGATATTTCCCCATGAATTGGGGTAGAATTAACCAAAATTAAAAATAAAATAGGCAAAATTAATTTTAAAGGCATTTAATTCTAAATAAAAAATAAAAATAAAATTTTATTTAAAAGAAATTAACAAATTAATTTAAAATAAATATTATTGAATAAAAATGTCAGATGCTTAAAGCATTGCGCAATTTAATTGACTATTCAAATTTTTATTAAAGCCTAGAATAAATAGAGAGAAAATGAGAGATAAAAAGAAAATGAGAGATAAAAATCAATGATAAAATAAAAAATAAATTACATAAAATCCAATAAGCTAAACATCGAAAGTTGATAAACATGTCGATGATGAAATTGAGGATTTAAAGATTTTATATAATTTTAATATTTTTTTATATTTTTGAGGAATTTTGTTTATTTTTGTGTGGTGATTCAGTGAGTTCTGACTATGTAATTCTGAGATATTTTAATTCCCTATTATAGAATAGAAAGATGAAAATTCAGCGGCTGGGAGCGAACCGGCATCTTCAGTAGGTCGGACTGATATCCATTAAGACACGCCGCCTACTGCACATCCTTAGAAATCAAATAGTGAATTAAAATTTATAAACTTATATCTACAAGTGATAATTAATATCTTTAAATTATGATGAATTATCTTTATAAATTTGTTCAATTTTCTTCCATTTCTTCCTTAAAATTTTTTTTCTGCCCTCAAAAAAGAACACAATAAGCAACGGCTGACATATCCGCATATAAAATTTTTTCATCAAATTCGTCTAAAATAGCAAAAAGTGTTTCCTTCAAAACTAATTTATGTTGCGCATTAAACATCAACTTTGTTATTTTATCCTTAAATTCATCGAAAATTTTAGCTTTAGCGATAATTTTTTCGTTAGGAGCTTTTAAATTATAAAAATATTTATTAAGCATTCCTTCAAGTTTTGGTCGACAATCTAAGTTAAAACTTTCTAATCCTCCCAATGGCTTAAATAAATCAACATAATTCGCCTTTTCTATTTCCTTTTTAAATTCAATTAAGCATTTGATGGAGTCATTAAATAATACAGCTATCTTAAATTACAAATTTATTTGTGTAACTCGGGAGTGCATTGTCCAAATATTATCAAATTTTGCAAAAAAAATCTACAAGACTACATCTACGTTACTGCCATCTGCAAGACATTACATGTATTTGTCTCCCATTTTTCGGGAAATTGGATATAACTTTTTTATTCTCGATAGTATTGAGATGAAATTTTCATCAACGATAGTTAACATCCTTGTAAATAAAATAAAAAATAAATTAGGTAAATCGGTAAAGTAGTAAAAAAGTTATGAATTTTTAACTCAAGGGGACTCGTTATTTATGTTTAAACAAAGTGATAATCCCTCGTGCCTTTAAAAAATAAAAATTTAAAACTTGCTTCATATTCCACCGACTCTTCCGGAACATTTATATCAAAACCCATCGTTTCAAGTAAGCATTCGATGCTTTTTTCAATATTTTTTGGCTTTACTATTTTTAGAAATTCTTCAATATTTTCCAAAATTTCGTCTTTTAATTCCATTTTTTTAACACGTAGTAAAGGTTTTGTTAATTGTTCTCTAACCTCTTCTGATAAATTTTTAATAAACAATTCTTGTTCTTTCTTTGAATGATTTTTAAACTTGGTTTCATTAACTAAATTAATTATTCTTTCTGCAAAATAAATTAAACCAGGATGATTGTTTCCATGTAGGATGTCGTTTATAGATGGATTTGCGGACTAAAAAATTACAACATTACTTATGGAAACTGTATGTTGTTTGAGTTTTTATAAAAGCTCTATCATCGTTAGTAGGGGTCAGTCGGAAATGACTAAAATGTCGGAAATCGGAAATGGCTCTAAATCGGAAATCAGGCTAAATTTTCGGAAATCGGAAATGTTGTGTTGTATTATTGGATTGAGGGGTGATATAGAGAGAGGCACATTTGAAGGGATTAAAAGAGATATTGTGGGCTTTGGGTTATTAAAAGTGATATCAACTCTCTTTTTTATTAATATTAGTTCCAATTTTAGAATAATAATAATTCAATATACATATTAACCTTAATATTCCTATAAGTCACCAACTTCCCCAAATTTTTTCCAAGATTATTTTTTTCAAAAATTATCTCCAAATTATTCTTAATTTCACTCCATTTCGACTGTTCAAGTTCTCTTTTGAATAAATATAAACCATTAATAATATTTCTAATAAAATTTGCTTTTGATATTTCCCCTTCGATTAGGGTAGAATTGAACAAAACAAAAAATAAAATTAATTTTAAAAACATTTTTATCAATTTTTAAAGTGAAAATAATTAATTTAAAATAAAATATTGTCTAAAAAGGGCATTGAATAAAGACGCTTAAAGCATTATGAAATTTAATCGACCATTAAATTTTTATTAAAGCCTATAGACAGTGTTTAGATAGAGAAAATCAAAAATAAAAATCAATGATAAGATAGACTTATAATTAAAAATACCCACATAATCAACCTTGAAGATCGAAAGTTTAATAAAACAATTAGGTATTGTAAAGCATATAGCTATTTAATTCCTAAAGCTACAGGAGTCCGGTCTGTTGAGGGACTTTTTCGCTGGCTTAAGGGAGAAATAGCTACATATTGTCCAGCTCTGGTTTACTGTAGATTTTTCTTATAAATGCCAGGTTTCGTTATATATTTGTTCATAAACAAAATACTGATCAAAGGGTTCAAGACACGATACGTGTATGCTCAAATAATTACATTGGATAATAATTGCTTCAATATTCTCTAAAAGTGGTGATTAATTTAGGCAATTATCCGAGTTTTAAAATTTAAACTGTCAGTAGGGCATTTCTGGAGTTTGTCTCAACCTCTCGATAGAGGGAGTAATTAATTGAGATCACCTCTTATTTGAGAGAGAGAGAGTCTTATTCGAGCATACAGCTAGTTTTGAATCTTTGGCTTAAATTCAAATTAATTTTCAACCTGAGTTTATGATCTATATCTAAACATATGCCTAGCAAAACAAATTAGGCAAAAAATTTGTGTTAATATGCAAAAAATATTGAGAGGTGAGAGGTAGAAATTTTCAAATTGATTCAAGTCTTCTTCCAATAATAAACTTATTTGGAGGTTTTTATTGTTTAATTCTGCTTCTTTAATTTTTGAACGATTTGCAATTAATTTCCACCAAGCAAAACGTTTAATACATTGCCCTCCTTTGACCCAATAATTGTGAATATCTGGGATTGTTAATTCACCAGGTTTTATTTTAGAATGGGCGAGTTCGCATAGTTTACATATTGCACGTTCAGATGGTTCAATTACGCTTTCTTTTCGATAATAACGAGTCCAATTGAAGAATCTAAGAGTTATGTTTAGGCATTTTTTGAGTAAATACAGTATTACCCTAAATAACATATACGGTATTACCTCTAACGGATACGTTATTATACCCGTGTTACTCTTAGCTCTAATATAGTACCCCCTCCTAATTCCCCTTCTGATAGAATGAATGCCCCTTTGTAGGTATTTATAGACAGAATGAATGTCCCTTCGTAGGTTTACGAAAAGGATACCAAGACTTTGTAGGCAGAATGTAGGCAGAATGAATGCCCCTTTGTAGGCCGTTTGAATGCCCCTTCTGATAGAATGAATGCTCCTTTGTAGGATGATCTTTTGGAGATTAAGAATATCCTCCCCAGGCATTTAGAGGGAATACAGTATTCAAAAAGATCTTTAAATACCTCAAATATTCTTTCTCATTTCCACTCATTTCAATCAAATATTTGGCCAATTCCTGAGCATTGGCAAAATCGTCAGCTCCAATAAATGAATCACCGAGTATATTTAATCCTTGCAAAGCAGCTCGGCTTAGAACAACAGGGACAGCTAATTTACGAAAAGGATACCAAAATTTTTCTGTTACATAATGCCTGCATACAGAATTTTCAAATGCCAAATAAAAGAAGTGTGAATCTAAAAAATTAGAAAAATTGAGCTCTATTTACTTATACAGTTGGACCTATACATTGCTGGGTCAGGAAAGCTACCCTAGCCCGGCATGCTCATTATTACAAATTTTAATAACCGTATCCGGTTAAAATTTTCAGTCTATACTCGTATTCATTTATATCCGCGGCACTTTATGACAATCTCATCCGAGAGCTACCTCAATATAAGAAAAAAATTTTAGAGTCCAAGTTTGTATCTTAAAGTGAACCCCGACAGCATTTTCTATAAGTTAGATAGCTTACCTAACTCATTTTCATAACAATTTTTATCACAGGATTTATTATAGCAATTTCCATATAAAGTTAAATTTATATATTTTGACAATTCTTGAATGTACAAATCCCTAGCCGATATAGCATTACAATTGGATATTATGGCTATAGCCAATTTTGTTTTCTTTCTAACTTTCTCTGATATCTAAAAATTATTTTTTTTCAAAATTTTTATTCGAAAACCTCTGTTTCTGTCCATATATCCTCCGTTTTTAATTTTTTATCAATTTTGTGTAAGGCACCGTAAGGGGCATGCAAATTATTTTTGTCTTGTGCCAAATATGAAATTGTCAAATTAAAAAAATCTTTTGATGGATAGGCATCGGAATTGAAATTATAGGGTGATTCTAGATTGAATAATGCATAAATTTGATTAGAAATTTCGTTTAGATGGAAATCCATTGGATAGGGAATTTGCATGGAATACGATTGCTGTTGCATTTAAATAGCTGTAAATATTTTTTAAACTGAGATTATTTAATATTGCTAATGATTTTAAAAAATTTTAGGCTCCGTTCTCTTCTAAAAATTAATTTTTAAAAGGCACTCTGATTGAATGCCCGGACATTCTATTTTTCAATCGCTTTCCAAAAAAGCATTGTATTAGAGGGGATATTCAGATGGAGGGGCATTATTCTAATTAATATTGATGTTCGAGACTCTCGGTCTCGTTTCCGAGTCGGGAAATTTTTCGAGCTCTCGGTCTCGGTGTTTTAATGTGAATATAGTGGATTAAGGTGGATATCAAGAGATTTAGGTGAAATAAAATGTATATTCTGGATTTGGTGATTCAAAGGATTTTGGGGATTATGAAGGATATCAAGCGATTTTTAACTCCCGAACATCATACTAATTAATAGGTATGAATTGGAGAAAAATGGTATTATAAATGCCATACTTTCAACTTGAATTTTTCATAAAAATTTTTTTACTTGGTTATATTGTCAGAGTAACTACATTGATAATGACATTCAGATGTTTGAGAATACGGAGCAATCGTTTCTATTACATTGCCAGAACCAAAAAAATTATTCCAGCCTAGTATTATAGGTAAATCTGTTGCATTATCTTGTGAATTTTGCTGAAATTTTAAGAAAGTTTAGAGACACCCCTATTCTTTGTCCCACATATGATGGTTTGAACCGGAACCGGAACTTCCGGCGCAACACTATAACCCCCTATCTGGGGTTATATGAATGTCAAATTCCTTGTTCCCTAATATGATATGGATAACCCCACTATCTGGGGTCTATTTCTAACTTTTCCAAACAAGGAATTTATGTGAAGTGGAGGAATTTAATTTTAAAAAAGAAAAATGAAACGTGAAAAATTGGCTTAAGAGAAAATGGAAACTATTTTCCAACTCCAAGTTTTGTAAAGGTGAGAAATGATCCCTGATTAAATCATCAAACAATCTTTAAATAAATTTAAAATTACCTCTGAAAGTTCAAATTTCAAAATTGAATATAAAACAAATAAAATAATATTTTTAATTTTTATTAAACTAAGCATTCTACACAAAAATTAAAGATTATTTAATTAAAAAAAAATATTTTAAATAAAATATTAAATGATAAAATAAAATAAAATTATATTTTTTTTATTCTGTGAATCAGATTAAATGGAATGTTTATTTAATTGATTTTACATATTTTATATTTTTTTAAATATTAAATTTATTGGGAAAAATTGACTTTAATTAAAAAAATTTTTTTAAATTTTTTTTAAATCAGAGAGTGAGGGATATACCCGAGAAAATCATTAATTAATTCATTAAGGATACATGGCCAAGTATATAATTAATGTATATTATTTATTCACCTTTTCCCGACTACCTTTTAAGGACAGTTTTATTGAAGGATGTAAAACAAACACAAAAAACTGGAAACATAAAGGAAAAAAATTAAGAGGGATAAAGTAGAAAATCGGTAGCTTGAGTTTTTCTAGTTTTTCTAGTCCTACTCGCTTCAATTTAGTTTATAAAGTAGAATATTTATGGAACTAGAATATAATCAAGACAAGAGACTGGATTTAAGTATAGATCTTGATACAGAATATTTTTGTGATATCGATTGTAAGAATTAAAATTAAATATTTTCTCGATTGGTTTGCTTGTTTACTTGTGTTAAAAGCAGACATAATTTCACAAATCAGTGCCGTAGACTTAACCCAGCTAACGGGAAAAAAATCTTGACTATCTAAATTATTAAACACTGTCTCGATTCAATTTCTAATACAAAATCTACAACTAAACCTATGCAAACGTCAACCATTGTTTAATAATCTTAAATAAAAATTTTCTACGTCAGCTAGAAAATATTTAAATCGAGGCATTCGTAAAGATTTAAAACTAAATCGTCGCTTCTTAAAAGTAAAGAGTTAATCTAGCAATTAAATATATTTAAATATCGAGAACTTTAAAACTTCTTATACGTTTTATAGAATAAATCTTAAATAAATCTTTAAATAAAATTTTCGGTGAATCGATAAAATTTTTAAAAAATATTGAAAACTGACGTTGGCTTTTTTTGTTTACACAGGTTAAATAAATAATTTTAACTGCTTAACTAGATGATAAAGCTATTTTAAATTTTTATCTATATTAAAATTTAAAAAATCAATCTTTATTTTAAAATTAAACAATAATTAAACAAATAATTTTTTAATAATTGAATTATCAGAATTTGACTGATTCTTGTTAACGAATATTTCTTTGACATGACATTCTTCTCAACTACACTGGCGTTAAACTGGAACCTCAATTCTCAACGTCTGTTAAATTTTATGACCCAAACTTTCAGGAATCCACATTGTTTGACAGATTTCACCTTTCATCAGAACTTTTCTTGTCAGAACTTCGACTTCTTTTATACCATTGTTTTGGCTTGCTTTCACTCTTGATTACATTATTTTTCTACAATTGTTTTGTTTTTTTTTGTTGAGGATTGATTGTCTATGACTTTGCCACTTTTACTACTTTTATAAATAAAAAATATAATATTAAGTAGATAAGTTAAATAATTTATCGCACAAAAAACAATAGTATGCTTATACAAATTTATTCAAGGCTGTATCTTCTTCTAATCCATCCACTTTATATTTTTTATTTTTTATTATTTTCTTTTAATATTTTTGAAGAGCTAAATAATATATCCACTCTTCAAATATACTTTTATTTCATCTTCTATTCTTCCCCAACCCTCATAAAAACTAAGCTTTGTTTTATTGTCATCTTCTTATATTTATACTAACATTTGTCAACCTCTCCTTATTCTTAGCTTTAGTAGAAATTTTTTTTATGTTAATAGACATTCCTCATAAAATTTCAGAAAAAAATTTAAAAAATCCACGATTCAACAATAAAAAACCGCAAACAAGTAAATTCCAAAAAAATAGTCTTTATTTGCTTAGTTATTGAGAATGTAAAAAATTATAGAGAGGAACGCTCGGTTATTTTTAAAATAATTTTTTAAATAAAGTTTTCCCTGTTTTATTGATTTTTAAAATTGTATTGAAAATTTAAAAATTTTATTTAAATTTTTTTTCATAAAAATATTTTTTATTTTACTCTATTTATCCCCAACAACTCTACATTTTTATTTTTTTTCTCAATATTTATTATTTTTTTCTTCTTTTTGCTCTATCCATTTTTTCTATAAGGGATTATTGATTCGTTTTTTATTTTAAGGGGCATAAAAGGTGATTGTTATGAAAAAATTTAACTTCCGTAAATGTGTTTAATCATTTTTTTAAATGTAAAAAAAATTTTTTATAAAAAATGATATTTTACATATTAAGTAAATTGAGTTGCGTGATTTTTAGGGTATTAAAAATTATTTTAAATTTATTTATTGGCTACCTAAAGTAAGGTGGTACTTTGTTCATATCCCGCCCCCCACCCCTATTTAGTCTCAGATTAATTTTCCTTTCTTGCTGTCAATCATTTATTTTTCCTCCTTTTTTAATGCCAATCATTTTCTTACCTCAAATATTATAAGTAAAAGGCAAGTTAAAATTTACGGGCTACAGTCCAAAAGAGCGCGCGGCCATAACGGCGCAAAGCCATAACTTGCTGTAATATTTTTGGCCATTGTCATTTCTGGTATAAATCTCTTTAGCTTGATGAGAGGAATCGTTTAATATTTATTTTGGTAAGGTTCGAAAATCTCGAATCAAGTTATGGCTTTGCGCCGATAGAGCCGCGCGCCCTTTTGGGTGTCCTATATGTGAGGGAAGAAAATGATTGGCATTAAAAAAGGAGGAAAAATAAATGATTGACAGCAATGAAGGAAAATTAGTCTGAGACTCAAATAGGGGTGGGGGGCGGGATATGAACAAAGTACCAGTAAGGTAAAACTCCATTCCATAAACCCTAACTTCGACGATTTTTGTGGCAAAACCGACCCTAACCCCGACTTGAAAAGTTACCCCTGTCCCTAAACTCCGACATGCCCTCCACAACAAATCACAAGTCCAGACCCCTAAAGATCATGGGAAACCTTTAACAAAAAAATTTTTTTGACCTCATTTCTTCAAAAAAAATTCAAAAATTTACAATTTTATTCAAGGCATTTTTAATATTACCATTAAAAATCAATCACCAAACCAACGACAAAATTGCCCGCATCAAGGCCACTTCATCCTTCCCCTATTCCCTTTTTTCTTCTCGACATCCCTCCAATTTATATTCATTTTTTCATCGGCAAATGGTTTCGAATAGTAGACATACAGTTTTAAATCTTTTTGTTGGAATATTTATTGGTTTTGTGCTTTCTTTTGCGATATTTCCAAATTTGGGGAATTTTCCTGGAGTTCAACTTCCTGGTTATCAAAGGCCTATTGTTATTGTTCAAGTAAGTCTGGAATTTTGGAAGAATAGAGTATTTAAGATAGTCTCTCGCGCTCTTTACCCCTAGGAGGAATGAGTGATAAAAGGCGGTATACCCAAATTTGTGGTACATACTAGTGATACTCGGGAGAAAAACCCGGGAAACGGGAGATTGGTCGGGAAATGACCTCGGGAGTCGGGGTACCCGAGCATCGCTAATACATACAGTAGCTGTGCCATTTCGTCATTCACCAAATTTTCCCCTTTTTTGTTGTTTCGTTTTTCGCTTTTTAAGAAGTTTTGGCCACATCCCTGATATATGCCAGCCATATTATACGAATCGAATATGACTTTAGTTGAGATGTCTGAGGTAGTCTCTCATCTTTCTCCCTTATCCGAAATGGGTACTGTAATTTGTTGAGTAATTATTGCTTATGAAAATTTATCTAAACGTTCCCCTAAATTTAAAGGAAGGTCCTAATCCACAACTTTCTGGAAGCCAGAAACAAGGCGATAATAAAATAGAAGTAAAAGAACATGCACATCGACACGATGCACATAATGAGGATGAACTGGACGATAGTGATGCCCCATCTGCTGCAATGTTTTTTCATGGGAATGGAACACATGTTCATGACGGTTTCTATTGCCTTTGATTTTTCCTGGCTTCCCCTAGTGGTCTAGAATTTTGGCTGCCCTAAGGCTCTTGGAACTCTATTACGAGAGCTCTCTAAAAAAGAAAAATTCTAGGTGAAGATACCCTTGCAGACGAGATATTCAAACATGTTAAAATTTATTGTTGGATATTAACTGGCCAACAATTTCATGAAAAACGTGCAATTCATGTTAAAGCAACTTGGGCTATAAGATGCAATAAATTTATCTTTATGTCTTCTGTTGATGATAAGGATTTGCCTGCTGTGAATTTGAATATTTCTGAAGGAAGGTTAAAATTTAAAAAAATTTTTTGTGATTATGGGGGATCCTAGACCTGTTGAGCGGAAAATTTTGGGATCAAATTTGGATTTTTTGGATTGCATTTTGTCTAAAAAAATTTTTGGATTTAAAAATAACTTCAAGATTAAAGTTTTATATTTTCATAATAAATTTAGAATCGAAAAAAGGAAAAGGACTAAAGAATTTTGAAGAAGAAATTCAGGTATCGGAGAATTTCTTAAAGTCTTGGGATTAAAAAAAGAATTATCGATTTTTATCGAGTTTGAAGCGAGATATGGTCAAAACAAAAGCTTAGAATATCTGCCAGATCTAGTAAAATTAAACATATTTAGTAAATATCATTTTATCGTCGTAAGTTAGTCCACTAAAAATGTCATAGGGTACCCCATAATTCCCATTTTATTAAAAATTTCAACAAAAATTATTTTTAGATCACATCTATGGGGAAAAACGAAAGCAGCCTTCAAATACGCCTATGATCACTACTTAGTTAGCTTTTCCCTTTAAAAATTTAATTTTTATCACATCCATTTATAGAACGATTACGACTGGTTCTTAAAGGCCGATGACGATACTTTTGTTATTTTAGAAAATTTGCGTTATTTATTAATGCCACATCCTCCAGAAGAGCCGGTCTATTATGGCTATAAATTTAAACCTTTTATTAAACAGGTTTTGAAAAATAATATATTATGTAAATTTAGAATTTTAAAGGGTTATATGAGTGGAGGTGCCGGTTATGTTTTGAGTAGACAAGCACTGAAACTTTTTGTTGAGAAAGGACTTCCAAATAAGACTGCTTGCAGAGTTTGTTAATTATATATTTAATTATGTAAAAGATTGGATAACGATTTAAAAGTTTACACAAAAATAAGGCTAATATTAAAATTTGTGTGCCCATTTTCCCTCTTCTCTCAGTTTATTCAGCAATCATGCAATAAATTAGGCTCAAATTCCGGAAAAAAATCGTTAGCTTTCGATAACAATTGTTTTGCTTATGGACGTTGTTTTGGGGGTGGCAATAATCATAAAGATCATTGAAGCTTATCTTTCCTTGTACTTCGGCCGCTTCTTGTCCCATGAATGCTTAGACCCCCGAGTAGGGTTGTCAGTTTCACCAAATTCTTCGGTTAACGAACTGAGACCGAACCGGGTTTTCTGTTCGCCCCCTCCTTACCCTCAAGCAACCCTACCCTTAAATAATGGATTTTTATTTACCTTTTCAATACGATCTATAATTAATAAATCCATGGGCAAATTCTAGGGTATTTAGGAGTTCTGGGAAAATGTGGCACACAAACTTAGCTAAATTATTAGGGCTTTCATAAATGAAAAGCTTATAAAAAATTATTTTTTCTAGTCTGACGAAAATGGGGCTGAAGATGCAGAAATGGGCAAATGTCTGTCAGAAGTTGGCGTAAAAGCTGGGGATTCCCGAGATACAGAAGGCCATCACCGTTTTTTACCTTTTGTGCCTGAACATCATTTGGCACCTGGACATATTGATCCAGGCTTTTGGTTTTGGTCTTATACTTATTATCCTATAGAGCAAGTAAAGATAAATAATTGTTGATTATAAATAATTTTTCAATTTCTAAAGGGGCCAAATTGTTGCAGTGATTATGCCATTTCATTTCACTACGTTCATCCTGGTCTTATGTATGTTTATAAAATTAGTGTTATTATGAGGTTGTTTGTTCTTTTCGGACTTGGTAAGATATGGATTTCGGTATTCGTATCGGATATCCTCTTGGCATTTTAAAATTATCTTTATCCATATCAGTATCGATTACCAAGTTTGTTTTTTTTCGGATGGGTTAACACTAGGGTTGTCGGTCTGGAACCGAACCTCGAGATTTTTCGGTTCGATTCTTCTATTTGGTCTGTTAGTAAAGGAGGGTTTTTTTGCATCTAGGTCTTCCAAAATTTTTAAATTATCGCCTGCGGCGGAGAAAATGTAAGAAATTTAAGAGAGGTATCATTCATAACTCGTCGAGATGAAATTTGGTTTACTGCACATCACTAATTGGTTCGATCCCGGACATCCGAAGATTTCTCAAGAACCGACAACCCTAGTTAACACTATAATAAATTTTCCTAGTCAACTAGAAAGTTATCCATAGATAGTTTTTTCCATACATTTCCTTAATATGCACTAATAAAGAAGGCCAAAGATTATTTTTTTAAGTAAAACAAAAAAACATAAAAGGAAAATTTCCCCTTAGTAACTGCTGCCACTTATGGGCACAAATATTTACAATTTTTTGTCGGCATGATATTTTCGCAAAAAGATTATTTTTTGCGAATATTACTATAAATAGGCATTTTTCCACATCGCCGTTAAGTAAGTAGTAGGGGAAAGATGAGAAATAAAAAAATAAGGCAAAGGCTTTATTTGTGCCATAAGCAGTTTTTTTTAATTTTTTTAATTAAAAAATTATTTTTAATGGATTTTCCAAAAATAACAATCAGCAGCTTATTATTTTTGAAAAATCCATTAAAAATAATCCCTTATGTGAAACCCATTTACTAAAATCTGTAGATAATGCTAGGGGTATATTTATCATTTACTAAAAAATAACGATAATTTTTAAGACCGCCTAAGTCTTAAGGCCGCCTATCAAACCTGCCTATTCATTCTCAACAAAAATTAAATATTTTATAACTCCCCATGTAAAATTCCCTTTCAATTTTCCAGGTATGTGCTAGAATACATGATTTATCATTTGAGGCCATTTGGGCGTGAAACCCATTTACTTAAATCTTTAAAAGACGCTGAAAAATTGAAGAATGATCCCAAAGCTAGGTCAGAAGCAAATCGGCCACTTTTGAGGGTTGCGTATCAATTGGCTATTAAAAATATGGGAGCGGACGATACGTTCAAAAAGAGTGAATCCGATTTGTCAAAACTGCTTGGACGCCTTAAGCCTTAAAAAAGCCCAACTAACAGAAAAATTTTTAAAGAGAACTCCCATTTTAATACATTTTTGGTAACGCTTCGGCTTACGGCCCCTACCTTTTCTGGTTTCCTTGACCATTATGAGCTTTTTTGCTTAATATATAATTTATTATATGTATATCATACAAAAGCACTGTTCGAGCTGGGTCGACAAAATCAGGATCCTGAATCCTCGATGGAAAGCATTCAAGTCAAATTTTCGATAATTTTTGTGCCAATCGACTCAGCTCGAAGAGCTCTTTCGATTGATTATAAAATGAAAAATAGAGGGGTGGGGGACAGGGGGACCAAATTACAGTAGATTTTTACAACAGATTTTCTTTGTTTTAATGGGAGTTTTCAGCTTATTTTCACATACTTTTCAAGCTTCTATTTATTTTTCTTTATCTTTTCTATTCTTTCCTATACATTCCTTTAAATATCTCTCCCGGTTAAAACAATGGGGGATATTAAATAGTAGAGATTTTCTAGACGAGATTTTTCATTGAAAGTATTTTCCTAGTAATAAAAACCAATCTAAAATTTATTGCTGTTTCACCCTTTTCTTTCCCACAAAAAATATTTTTTACAACTGGTTATAATCTTTTAGTTACACGAATTCTAAACCACAAAAAAAAATTTTTTTTCTTATTTCTCTCACATCTTTCATTCTTTTCTCTTTCATATGCACATCGATTTACACAAAACAACTTGCCTCATTTTTATTTTTTCGCAATCTGTCATTGCTGGTTTTTTCCAAAAATTTTTTTTCGGGCGAGGACGTGGTCTCCTAAATGTTTGTCAAGCTATAGTATTTTTGTCAGTCCTCTCAAATTAGTTTTCTATTAGGAAAGGGCTGAGTCATTAAAATTAATATTTTTAGTTATGAAATGCCCAAAATTATTTTTAAAAACTAAAAATCACAGCCCGACAAACATTCAACAGACCTTTCATATTTTTATCACTTTTACTCCATTCCAATACGCACATATTTGTCAGCAATATTTATAATTACTATATTTTATAAGCTTTATATTTTTAAATTAAATGATTATTTTGTTCTATTTTCTTTGGATTTATAAATATTTTTCAAGGGATTTGTTTAAAAAATTTTTGGATTTTTTAACATTTTTTGAAACTACGCAAAAAAATTTGCAACATATGTATTTCTACAATAAAAGAAAATTAAAAAGGTAAAAAATTCTTTATCAAAAATTCAAAAATAATTTAGAAAAATCAAAATGTCAATATTGGAGATTACTGTAATCTAGGCTAATGGCAAAAATATATGTTTAAGAGGATCAGGCTTTGCATAGTTTTAAAGCAAGTTTTGTCTGATTTTTACGAATTAAAACTAAAAAAATGTTTTCTAATCTACTTTAAATTTAGGAGTAATTTTTAGAAAAATCAGACAAAATTAATGGAACAATATTTAACTTATAAAGCTAACTAATTTCGGAATTTATAAATTAATAATACTCAAAAAAGGTTCAAATAAAAATGTCGGGCATTTTGAATTTCGTGTGTTTACCCTTTTTATATGCCCCAAAATTCCTTCAAATGTCATAGGGTAAAGAACAAAATTCAAAATGCCCAAAATATCTCTCCGTTTAATAAACTTAATCTTTTACTTTTCCAGGTGCTTCTTTGCCGCTTCCTTCAATTTCTCGTGGGCAAAGCGTTTAAGTCCATCGGGCCATTGATTGCAATTTGGTTGCAAAAAATTTTCAATTATTGTGTCAATATTTGTTCCCTTCTTTATAAATTTGTTAATGTTGTTGGACAGGAATTGCTCGAATGCTGGAATTAAGGAATCAACTAAGGCACGAGCAGCATTTACTTGGGATTCACTGAAAAAATAAATAGTTAATAACGCTGAGTTTACTTTTGATATGGCTTCGTCATGGGGACAAATTGAGCCGACATAAGGAAAGAAGGTAAATCGAAATTAGACTAATACTTGCAAAATATATTTTAGACATAGTAGGAGCGACGACTGATTAAATACATATACAATTCAAATGACTCAAAACAAGCGTAATTCAAAGGGGCTTTGTTGGCCTGTTTTGCCTAAATCCTAACTTAATTTTTTCCATTTTTAAACTGGAAATTGTGCCTGTCTAGATTAAAAATCAGGTTTGTCAAGCTAAATTAGATTACTGACAAGTATTTTCGACTTATGGTGAGAATTATATGTATTTTTAAATTTATTCAGTCTAAAGATTCTTAAAAAATATAAGTTTTGGGAACGATGAATAAATAAAATTTTGTGAAAAAATCTTAAAAATCTATTTTGGTACTTATCCATTATCTTACAGTTATCTTGCTGAATTTATGTTTAGACAGGAAGAAAACGGGGAAATTTCTTTTGGGATTATAAGTGACTTTTGGTGCTTATTTTATAAATTTTAGAAGACTGGAAAGATAGGATAAGTACCATAATCTCAAATGCTACTCGTTTAACAATATAACAACATAAAAATATTACTCCGTATTGCCATCACTTTTTGAAGGGCTCGCCTTTGAACCTTCATTCCGCGCCTTAAACATTTTCGTCAAAGCATCTGCAAACGTTCCAAACGATTGGAAATCTCTAAATTGGGGAAATAATTTAAGTAAATAATTTTCTGTGATATTCAATAATATTTTCAGTATAAAAACGTACACTGGAGTGTCACTTGTTTTCCGAACAGCTCTGGGTGGTTCACTAAATTCGCTATAATCGTCCTCGTTTTCGGCATTTTTCTTGGCACCAAGGTTGGCACTAAAATAAAAATTGTTTAAAAAAGTTATTAGATTTTATTCATTTACGTGTTAGGAAGGCTCGGAGGTTTGAAAGTATCTGGCTCAACATCGTAAAGAATTTCCTGCTTTACGTTACGAATAAATGTGCTTGTCCCAGCTTGCTCTGTCGGTTTCATAGCAACTTCATCACGATCACTAAATATTAAATTTAAAGGTTTCTAATTTTTACTAGAATTTAACTCAAATTAACAGATTGGTAGATACTAAAAATGGAATTCTTGAGGCAAGATTTCATTTAATTTCACTTATTTAGTGAACCATAATTATTATTTTTAGTGGTATTTTTTTGGAGAATTCACTTTCTAGTACTTAACATGATTTGGTCGATGTACCTAAGCTAATTTCTAAAATATGCAGAAAATTGCTGGAGACTCGTAAATAATTCAGAGGGATTAACTTTACATTAAATAAATAATGTTACCAACCAACTAGCGCTCTTTGCTTTGAGTGTGCCATCATGCAACCGCTTCGGTGGTGTCTGTCGATCACTTGAACATCTAAATTTGATTAATAAATTATATTCCAACGATTTTATTTTTTTTACTATTTATTCTCTTCTATTTTTTTCTCATTTTATGGCAAATTATTTAAATTCGAAAGTTAGGCTCGAGCTTTTTTGCTCAAAAAATGAGCTTGCTCGCCCTTTTATATTTCAATTTTCAGGGGTCTGTATCTCGGCACAAATTTAAGACCGGAAGTTAATTTTGGTTTCATTCGACACAACTCGACGAGTTCTATAACCTATGATTGCGATTTTTTATACTTTTAGGAAGAAAAAAGGAGGAGGTATATGAACCGAACTATTACCAAGAGTTCTTATTGATTTTTTCTAAAGTCATTCACATTTGAATGTGCCACAGAGAAATATACGGAATTCAGGAAGAAATAAAGGCTGAACGTTCTTTACAAATTAAGTAAGGAAGAACTAGGGTGGAACGAACTTATTAAATTTATCAAAGAAATAAAGTAAATCTATTGGAGTCGGCGAGACTCTTGTGCAAAACCCCGTGCTTCGCGCG